TTTGACATTTTTTCTTGTGCAAGTTATATATTTTCTTGTGCAAGTTATAGGTCAGAAATTTCATATTATATTACATGATTAATTATTACAAGGATACATTTCTCGAAACAATAATGTTCGACGATCCAGGTTTCCTGCATTTACATTTTCGTCTCTTTGTTCGTTACAGTTTAACTCATTTTGTTCTATATCTTCTTCAATATAAAAATCGTCACCGTCATCTCCATTATTTATGCATATATTATGAAGTACACAACATGCTATTATAATCCAAGTCATAAAATGGGTATCATATAACGGTAATTTTTGTAATTGTCGAAATCGGCCTTTTAAAATACCGAAAGCTCTTTCAACTACTACTCGAGTTGCTGAAATTTTTCTATTAAATTCTACATGTTCTATCGTAAGATTACCATTATCTTTAAAAGGAGAGACAATCCATTTTTTTGCTATTCCATTATAACCTTTATCTCCTAATAAAAACGTATTATTTGGAAAAATGTTTTCTCTTTCCTGTTCAGCAACTTGAAATAGCTCAGATCTTCTCAACATACGGACATCATGAAAAGAGCCTGGATCGCCACAATATATATTAGTAAATTTCATCTTACTATCGGTAACAGCTTGTAAAAGAATTGAGTAACACTGCTTCCTATTAAAATATTCCCTACCATTTTCTTCAGGTTTATTAATAAAAATATGAGAGCCATCTATGGCTCCAACACAGTTACGGATATCTGCTATTTCTTCAAATTTGCGAGATACTTTAGTTATATTATTTCCTTCAGGCCATACAATAACTTCAGGCACTAAGGTAACTAGCCAATTAATAACTCGACGTATAATGCGAAATACAGATGATATTGATATGTCAAAAAGATTGGATAGTGTTCGATGTGGTTCTTTATTATTGAGGAACCAAAGAGACATCAATAAACACAACTCTGCAGATTTGTTTTCTTTCCCAAATCCATGTAATGGTATAAATCCACTTATTTCTAAAGATTCTATAAAGAATATATGTA